TTATTGTTCCTGTAAAAGGAGAGAGCTGTCCCAGGTACAATTCAACCAACAGCTTGTTCAGCATGGTTCTACGTTTGAAGTTTATCATAATGAATCACTGATCTGCTCTGAACTGTTTATGTAGTGGAACAGTGTGTATTTCATCAAATTCCATATCGAACATGGACAAAGGAACAAAAAAAAAAAAATGTTACATAAGCAGAAGTATGAAAGATTAGCATAGAATAATACAGAAGGTGCATAAAAGGTCTGCATTTTTTCACACAATGATGAGCTGTGTAATACACTCATCATTTTTTTTCTTTGTTTTGTTTTAGGTTACTACAGTAACTAAAAGTACACAAAATTGAGACAAGACAGGCCCAGGATATACGTAGATTTAAAATTGTTAAACACTCTGAAAGAATGCCTCTGATTTCTGTATTCTATTAAGCAAATTGAGTTTATGTCACAGTTTAACAGGCACCTTCAGTGGGAAAAATAGGAATGGTTTTTATTCTCACTGTAAAACTTTGTGACCAAAAGAAGCATCCACAGATACATCAACTTTGAGGAAATGGAAAAAACGTGTATACTGACTACTAGGTAGCGATTTCTTCAAGATCCATCAGGCAATGACAAAGGGAAGGAATAATTATATATTCATTAAAAGGTGAAAGGCAGACACCATCTTAGGAAGAAAAGTTGGTAGTGGTTGAAGAACCACCTCATCATGTATAACCAAAAAATGGGGTTTACAACACAAGGCAGCTAATTCCCAAACTCTGAGTGATGTAATGGACATCAAAAAGGCCACCTTCTGCGACAAAGTAAACAAGGAAATATCTTGAATATTCTCAAAAGGGGGCTTTAGCAAGTATGAGAGAACCAAATTTAAGTCCCACGGAGGTAAAGAGGACTTGACTGGAGGAAAAACATGTGAAACACTTTGTAATAAAGGTACAAATTATTGGATGCGGGAAGATGATTGGCAAGGCCAAAACCTAACCCTTAATAGTGCTTAGAGACCGCTTTTGTTCTATGCCATACTGAAGAAAAGCCAAAATCTGAACCACTGCAAAAAGGTATGTGGAGCGACACTAAGCTCTTAACACAGGGAAATATACAGGTGAGGGGAATTTATCAATACTGCAGCAGACAAAATCTGGAGAAGCTGTGCATAGCAACCAGTCAGCATCCGCCTTTAATTTTCAAACCTTAAGTGAACAAACTGAAGAGAGAAGCTGACTGGTTGCAGTAGGCAACTGCTTCAGATTCTTCTGCTCCAGTTTTGATAAATTCCCCCAGTATGCTTTCCAGGTCCAATTATATTTTTTTTTCAGGAAGTAGATTTACATGCTTTAAGCATTGTAGGGATCACAGAGTCAGACTATCCCGTCTCTCAGCATCTGATTTTCAATAGCAAGCAGAATAAAAGATGGGACCTTAACACAGCCGGAGAGGAAGTCGCCAGGGAACATCTGCAACTAACTTCACAAAGTTTGCGTACCAAATTGGGAGCCACCAGAGTAACAGTTATCACTTCAAGTTTAAGCCAACACAAGATCCGCTGTAGCAGTTTTAAAGGAGGAAAGGCGAGAGTGTAGCTGTCCCAAGGCACCACCAACGCATCTGTCGCATTCACACAGGGATCTTTCCTACTACAGTGCTCACTCTAGCGCAAAAGTTTTGCCCATTTGGCAAGTGTTTGAGACATGGGGGCTGCGGCCAAAATGGTCTTCAATGCTGATACAGTTACAGTGTATATAGATCTTACTACGGATTTTGCTTTCCGTTCATCGGATCCTTGGAGGAAGATTCTACGACCAAAATCACTGTAGAAACAGCAGGAGATTCCCATTTTTTAAGAAACTCCTCCTCAAAATAGAAAATGCAGTGAAAAGCTCTTGGAAAGTACAAAAGCCCGAGAAGGGCGTTTCCATTCTTTGTAAATTAAGTCAAAAAAGCCACAGTATGGAAAAAGTCCCATCTGAATGCTTAGACTTGTGTACCAAAAGGAACCTAGAGCTTCTGAAGGAAAGTCTGCAGAATCCTCAATATTAAGAGTTAAGTGCGCTGAATGGATAAGTGCAGAAATAATTTTTTTCTCTTGCGCAAAAGTAGATTAAGACGCTTCATTATCACAACCAGAGTGAGGTGAATCAGTCACACCCAGTTTCTCAGAGGTTACAGAAGCCCAGGAGAAAACATCTTCCTCTGTGGCGGAATCGGATGGGGGAGAACGCTTCTTACCCTGGGTTTTTGTTTGTTTTTTTAAAGTAAAAGCCTGCTCGTGAAATAAAATATTCCAGGACAGAAGTAAGCCTCTATAGAAATAGAGGAACCTGGGGTCTCAGTAGTAACTTAAGCCAGCCATACCCACAGACACCAAATGGGGACCCTGTTAGCCTAGGGTGACACTGACAAACCAGCCCAATGGTTGAATAGTCATATGTGTACCCCCCATGAGGTATTTCACAGGTTGCCCCCAATTCTGTAAGCTGTCACAGCCGATCCCACTCTGATTAAAAAGGAGAACTTTAGGGTCAGGGCTTTTCCCCTTAGTTCTCCTAAGGGTCACGGGAGAACACAAACTAGCGTTCTCCCTTGACCCAAAGCTCAGTATACCGCGAGCTCCAGCTCGCGGTATACTGAGACGTCCCAGCCGGGACGGATCCCGACAATACTGTCAGCATCCACCCAGCTGCGGGATTGACAGCTGGCTCTGCCTATCCAGAGGCAGAGCCAGCTGTGCCCCGCCCCCTTCCCATTTCACCAGTCAGCGCTGGAATATCGGACAGGGGTGGGGTGGGGGGGGGGAATCCCTGCAGGAAACAGTGAGTGACAGTCATGGCTCTCTGGAGGGATAGATCGAGAAGTGAGCGAGCGACGGTATGTGTTCGCTCATTTCCCAATCTACTGAGCCGACCTGTGACAGTTTTATTGTCACAGGTCGGCTCAGATTATGAGGCGAGTGAAAAATCACAAATAGGTACACTTGCTATTAGGAAGTTTGTTGCAACTTGTAAAAATAGTATATGAACCAGCCACTGGATTAATTCAATAATGGTGAGTTTAGAAATGGGACAATGTTCTTTGTTGAACAGAAAGCCATAAATAGCTACACTACAGGTAGCCGGCTTATTAAGTATGGACCTCAGACACAGTTGAGGAAGCCGATTTTATCAGCGTAAAACATGAAAATAATACATCCTATGTCTGGCACCCATGTTAATAAAGTGGTTTCTGAACAGCTCAGCATGAGACTGGAAATAAAACAGACTGTTGTGCATTTGCAGTTATGCTGCTGGCTAGCTGAACTGATTTTAAATGCAAGCTTTCAAGACTTTAGAAATTTTCATAAAGCCACGATATAGAAACAAAATACATTTATACACAGAACAAAAAATAAATTATACATACATTTCTAAAAGGCTTACATAGGGATATTGCTATGTCCCCCAGGGAGGGGCAGGATTGGGAGGGGGGGGAATTTGATAATAAGAGGATAATTAGCTGGTGATCTACACAGTGTCCTCCACATAGAATTCTAAGGAGAACACAGTAAGTAGTTCTAACAATGGAAGTAAATTCCTTGGTAGCTTGCATGCTCTGTTCTAGATTTAAAAAAAAGGAGGTGGGGACGCATGGTGTACTTGCAGTCCCATTTTCAGTCTGCTAGCAGACTGACATGCCCCCTATTCTGCCCTGCAGAGAATGATTGACAGCGGTGGCTCATTTACCAGCTGAGAGCTATGTCACCAGCAATGGCCAAATGTTGCACCTAGGGTCTGGGGCCCCCAAACCTTAAAAAAAAAAAAAATGCCAAATACCTTATATCATAAATGTGGTATTTTTCCTGTATTATACAACTGATGAGATTCCCTGCTTTACCTGCCTATGATAACAGATTGAAGTAGTAAAACAAGTAACTGACAGCTGTAAATAATTTTCTTCAGTTTCTTCTAAAATCGGTCCCATTGTTGCATTGCAATCAGTGACTCATGGATGCAATGCTGAGGCTCTTGAATTCTCTTCCCCCAGTCCCAACCTTCTGTGTTGGAGGTGGAGGAAGTAATCAAGTGCGGTGCTTAATTGATAACCAAAAGTTCCTCTGCTGCAATGGCAGATGAGACTTGGAGACTATTCATTCACAGATAAAAGGACTACAACCACTCTGCATTCAAATGTATACAGGAGCCTGCATGGAGAAGAACCCAATGACACAGGTAAGGAGGGGGGGAGGGCGCAGGGGAATGTGTCCATGTTTCGCTTTAAATATGGATGCAACATGAAACATGGTCAGAAAGGTAAACTTTAAGAATGAAAATTAGATCTATGTGCCCTTGACAGTCTAATTAGCACTGGTCTGATTTTAAGCAACCTGGTCTGAGATTTGGTATACCTACCCACACACAGCGCAGTAAACCAACTAAATTTATGGCATCAAGGCAGGCTGTTAAAATGCCTAACAACGTAAGGAGAAATTTTGTCATTTTGTCATCATTCTGGGTATGGCGAGATCAGGCAATGGTCATATGTTCATAGGCCCTTCCTTGCATTTAGTGATGGAGCCTACCCGAGAATTCTAGGGGGCTTAGCCAGGAAGGCTTTTTACCATTGACCGTTATGGTTTTAATAATAACCAGACACTCAGATACTTCTTCAACCTCCTACAGATAACCTGTATATTTATCAAATGCAAACTTTTCCAACAATCTTTTGCTGTAAGACGCTTGGTGGCTGGCAGCCATTTACTACCTCTAGGTGCCTTTGGTCCTGGAAAACCCTTGGCCTGAGACATTCAAGACTAACAGGATGTGGGATGAGCAGGTGAGCACAAAATACACACAATACTACTACTCCCAAATACCACAACTACACCATACCTAGGCTACTAGATTTCCAAGATTTAAGTCCTTTGAGAAAAAAAGATGGGAAGAAGACTTGATCAAGATGCCTTGCTACTATTACAAACTTTGAATGTAGTTTATAATTCAATAATTAGAAAAAGAACCTACCTTCTGAAAGAAATCTTCACCACTTTTGCCTTTTCCTTCGGCAGCCGCTGTAATTAGAATACATGTTCATTTAGTGATGCGAATAATATTATACATTTACTTTTTAAAAACACTTAAAAAAACAGGAATTTTGCAAAAAAATTAATAGAATCTGCTACTTTCATTTACATCACAGGAGAAAAGAAAGCTTTACCCTGCAAAATAATGGCTCAAAAGGTCAACTGTTATAAAGGTCTAAATTTGGTACCTTTACAGCTGGATGGTGGACAAATTACCTTGACGATATCAAAATATACATCCATTTCCCTGTCATTCCTCACAGGGCAATATCAATGGTAAGGCACCCACCCAAGGCTTTCACATTATGCCCTAAAGCCAGCAAAACTTATGTAGCATCATCAGCTTTGGAGCTTAATCCATTATTAATCTGCAATTAAAACAATATATTGGCAGTCTTGAAGGTATCAAGATATCAAGCGTGCTCTAGCTTAAAAAGTAGACCCAACTTCCCATTAACAGTAGGAGGTTCCTGGCTGCATGGAAGTGCTGATATAAAAAAAATTCAATTATATACTTACATATTTCCCAAATCTTGCAAGAAAACATTTGTTTTGTGGATCTTTGGGGACCAACACAGTTCAACAGTCTATCCTGATACACACTGAGGAAGTAGTAGGTTTTACCACAGAGCTGCTAAACAGGCCTGGCACATTTCATGCTAGACATAGAAGCAGAGCTGTAATTAAGTCATTGACGGAAGGTACTGAGGCCTAGAGAGCCAACAAGTAGTACTAGAATAGGTGTGAGAATAGTTGCCATTGTAGCCGACGGTCTTATAAAAGAGAATAAGAATCCACTTCCAAGACCTGACAAGAATCTTTTCCCGTTTAAAAGAGAAGCGTTATCCCTTAGACAAGCAGTGTGTGCATTTGTAAATGTTCTCCTTTTGGCACACCTGCAAGTTAGGTTTCCTTCAGTTGAGGCCCATTACTTTAGCATCAAAAGTGCAGTGGAGTTGATCTACAGAAAGAGCTTAGCCAATATGTTTTGAAAACCTAAACTATCTGCAGCCATAAAATCTAGCCGCAATGTTTGACAGGTCCATGTTCCCATTAGATCTCTGCTTTCCTTCACTATAGTTTTTAAAACAGTTACAGGGGCAAGACTTGAAAGCTGAACACAAACATGTATATGTGAAAAACAAAAATATGTAAACAGTTTTACCAAAAATAGGAAATTGTGTTCCACCAGTATTGTGATTTGTATATTTATGCCACACTAAAAGCAAAATAAAGGAAGCTTTAGATTAACTGCTTGCTATGGCGGACAATAAGTAAACCATGAATATGCCATTTCATTGTTCAGTGAGCAGGCTGGAGGTAAAAAGGTGACAGAGTGAAGAGGTGCCACATAACGGTTTCTATTGGCATAATGCCGAAAGTGCCATTTTCTGGCCGATGCATCGGCGCATACCTGCTTTCTCCCCTCCCCGCTGCTCTTGTGTGCCAGCAGGGAGGAGAGAAACTGTCACAGGCGGCCGAGCGCTGCCACAAGAGATTGCTGTGAGCGGCCGGGGTCCCTCCTCCCATACCGCTCAGCCTCCTGTCACAGATCGGCAGAGCGGTGTGTGGGCAGAGACAGCCAGTGCTGTCACAGGAGACCAAGCTCTCCTCTCGCACCGCTCGCTCAGCCTCCTGTGACAGCTGTCCAGAAGGAGAGCAGTAGAAACACTCAGTGATCGCTGAGTGTTTGTAGATAATTGAGGACGTAGTATGTTGACTATATCCTCAAATTATGAATGATTGGGAAGTGATCTACATCACCTCCTGTTCATTCATGATTGTGGTTATAGTAAACATACTATGTTCTCATGTTATGAATGAACAGGTTCTTGTTCATTTATAACTGGGGCTGCAGAAGAAGAGATTGAGGACTCAAAAGTGTTCTCAATCTTTTTCTATTTTAATAAAAAGGAGATATCAGGGGTCTGCTTATACCTGTAATATTTCCCTGAAGCCCCTAAAAGTAAAGTAAAAAATAGAAATATTTGATTAAAAATATAAAAATTTAAAGTTGGTAAAAAATAAAATATTAAAAAAAAAAAAAGTTGAAATAAAAACATTTTCGGTTTCGGACCGACTTTCAAAATTTCCATTTCGGTGCACCTCTAGTTTTTAGTATCCAGTTTTGACACTTTCAGGTAGTGGCAAAGCTTGCTACAATGCCAAGACCTCAGACATTCCTACTGGTTCATCACTGTCTCTCTGGCCAATATAAATGTGTGGAAGAAAGGAGGGACAGGCAAAAATCAACCAATATGACGAAGTGCTAAAGCTGTGGCTAACTAGAGCACCTGGTATTCGAACAAAGCTGAGTATGCTAAAACTGCTGCAGGTAAATAAGAGAAGGAAACCATTTAGATTTCTAATTTGTTACATCAAACCTTTATTTAAACACATATAAATCTAAGACAGGGTGCACTGGTCTACAGTAACTGCTGTCAGAGAGCATTATAGGTTTTCTAGAGAAAGTACATAAGCAGTTTCTCTTCAGACTCTTAGGAGGGGGCGGTTGAAGACTAGCGGTAAATTTAGTTTCAAACAGCTGTGTCTACAAATTTGAGGTACTGATGTACTGAGCCTACAAACAGACTCTTCAACAAAGCAGCTAAGAATATGGCACAAGTAAACACATGAAAGGGCCCGGCACTACGATTGTTGGCTAGAAATGTATGCAATTTTAATTTTTTACCTGAATTAAAAGAAAAAAAATAGCACTGAAAATAATAATTTATGTACAAAATGCTTATATTCCCTTAAACTCACGTTAAAGCTTAGTGAGCAGGATAGGGACCATTTTAAGAGGATATTGTTGGCAACATTTTATATTTATTGACAAGCTTGGAGATGCAGCAAAATTTAAATAAGTAGAGGGAAAAACAAATCTTTATTTCACTACTATTAATTCCTTAAGCAGACATGCCTTGTGCTAGTTCCTACTTTTGAACATGGCTTATTTTAGCTTTATTACAATTTGCATCCAAACGTTCCTTCGGCGGTCTGCCATATCTGCTTTCAGCTCAGTTCATTGCAAGAACTATTGAATTACAGAGCACTGCTCCAACGCAAATACCCACTGGTTGAAACAGGTGTGAACCATTAATGTCCACAAGACCGAGTTGGCTTTAATAATTATATAAGAAACACGTGTAATGTTGTACTTCATCACATGGACTATAAAATTTTACTTTTCTTTTTTTGTAACTATGAAAAAGAAAAACTTAAACCTAAGAGCTAAAATTCATCATTAATAAAATGAACAAGAGCAGCCATGGGCCCAATTGCCTAGTTCATCCCACTGCCAAAGGAAATTTTTAAACACTCTTCGCAGCTGTGAACGTAAGCCTATATAACTGAAAAAATGCGTACATTGAAATGCTGAAACCTGCAATGACCATTAAAAAGACCAGCAAGTAAAGAAACCTAAGCAAAATGGGGCTCATTGGCAATACGATCCCTCGTGTTTTTTTTTCCTAAAAAGAAAAAACCTCTGATCACCATTTCAAATCAACCCCAATTCTTTTCTTCAAAATGAACACAGCATGTGCAAAGGTGTGAAGTGTGCATTACTGTGCCAGTGTGTAATAAAATTGTGCACCTAAGACAGGGCTCTTAGGCCTCATTCACACTGCCGTACAATACGCTGCGTATATGCACGTATTGTCCTTTATGCAAATAAATGGCATAGCTGCGTATGGAGCCATATATATTTGCGCTGCATAAAGATGCGCAAAAACAGAATGGACCTGAGATGCGTCTGGGCAACGTATATCTGCGTATTTTATGCACGTATATGCGTGTGCATGCGTATATGCATTTACGGTTTGTTAAAATTTCTATTACGAGTTATGCATTCTGGGATTGCAAATAGTGCACGCATATGCGTGTATACATATGCATACGCAATATACAATTTTGCTCTTGCGTTGTGTGCATGAGGCCTACCACGGAAAAGTTGCATGGTCCTTTTGCGAAGGCACAAATCGACAAGATATCCTACCTCATTTTTAAAGTTTTGGATTTTGTGCCCCAGAAATAACCGCTATGGTGCGATGTTGGACACAAGCTAGCTAGGGGATGAGTGGTGGGCATGGTGTACACTCTCTAACTCTAACTCACCAGTACAGCAAATGGGAAAGCAATCATACACTCTAAAGCCAGGTTACCGTCCAGACCTTCATCTACGAGGTGGCAGGAGGATTGGTTCAGTTACAACTTACCTGCTATTAAGGTTTAGGTAATGTAAATCAGCTGCCCTACTAATACTAGGTGGCTTCTACTAATATGTCATGTGTACACTATGGTTATTATAAGCCTAAAGCGCAATTAAAGAACTCTGGGAAGCATTCTTAACTCTTGCAGTGGGGCTACCCTCGCACTGCAAGGGTTAAGTGCTCTGTCATCTAGGGTCTAAAAGAAAGTTATACTCATCTGATCCTTATGCTGGCTGTTAGAACGTTCCTTCCAGCCTCTCTCCCCCTCCGCACCGGTGGTCTAAGGATCCTTAAGTCATCACGTCCAATACACTTTGTATTGGACGTGAGGACACCGAGTGACATACCATTGCTGCAGCGGAGGAGTAGACAGGCTTGAAGGCGTGCTCCGAAAGCCAGCTGGCTGCAAAGTTTCGGTGAGCATTACCGTTTTATTTTACACCCTAGACGAGAAAAAGAATACATTTTTTCAAGTTCTTCTTTATCCTTTTTTTCAAAATACGAAACCCTCTAGACTGCTGTAAGTGATATATGGCTCATGAGAATGTGTAATAAAACTGGAACTACTACAAAGGTCTACAGAATCTATCCTATAATGACATTCCACCCTGTCATCAGTATGAGTCTACTATATATAGACAAACTGATAGGTTTGTAAAACAGGGCCTAATGAGGTTGCATTTTTAAATGATGAAAACATTTGGTGTTCACATAGTTTAGTGTGTTAATGATTAGCAGTTAAAGTTACTCATTTATTGTAGACTGGAGTTTCTG